GATTGACGTGGGCCTGGGATGTGCTTCCCATGAAGCTACGGACGTACTGTCCGGAGTTGCACCGCGTGCAGGCGGTGAAGAAGGGCTCTGTCCGCGGGCGCTCTCGAAACCAGCGAGGCTGGGTGTTTTCGTGTCACAGAAACAGGGCTCATTTAGCAGAGAATGCGTGAAGAAGGTTCAGAGGACGTAAATGTGTCTGAGACACGCGAGCCTCGTTTGAGGCGTTTGTGGGCATTCACAATGTTGATGGGGGAGAGTGTAACGAGGTTGCACGTACCCTGGTATGATCGAAAAAGGTGATTGGTGTGACCGTAAAAGGTGTGGATTACACAATTCGATGTAATCACACAATGGTGTGGCTATACCGTAACAAGAAGCCACTACATGGCGGAACTGCCAGTAGTTATGCATATGAATTAGGTTTTACTGTTTAATTAGGAAAACCAACAGATTTAGAAAAGGACGGCTTTGCTGCAAATAACAAAGATATTTACAGTTTCAATTTTGAACGAAAGAGTGCATTTGCATTGGGTCAAGGTTTATGTACTCTTGGAGGTAGTGGATTGCGATCCGCTGCAGTCATAAGTATAGAACGCAAAGTCGGTGACCTAGTAAGTTTCCTCTAAGCAAAGAGCTATGGCAGCCCTGCTGCACTAATAATGAGGATAACACAACCACTACCACTATCTCGGCGCAAGCGCTGGTTATTTGAGATGATGTGCTGCAGGACTCCATGGCTGGATAAACGTTGTGCAGTGCTCCCTTTTGGTAACGAAACAACTGCGAATGAGTGACAGTGATACCTCTTCCAGTGCGGTGAGAACTCCGAACAGGGTGCTTGCACCAGGAACGTTCAATCGTCTTGCACCAGGGACGTCCAATCGTCAAATAATTTATTGCAAACATTGTACAGTGCAGCCAGCATTTTGTCATGACCATCAACAAGACTCAAGGACAACAGCTTAATAATTGGGCTTTTACGTTAATTATCGACTTCATGCTTCTTGAATGAGCACCTTCATGTAATTTTGCCCAGCGACACCTTGCGCTCAGAATTCAAGGTATTGATCAAGTCTCTAGAAATTGGAAGATTACATAGGAGTGCGGCAAATATTTAGGAAGCGCAACTGTCATTTCACATCCCAATCTTGTATTATGATGTAGAATTCACATAGGTATCTAATACCGCGGAGCTTGGCAAGCATGTGTCAATCAGATATTGTAGCGTTGGTGAGACTTAGCTTTGGTTGCAGATAATTCACGAGTTAACAGAATTTTTGATTTTACCTAGGTACAAGTCCAAGTGGATAACCGAGGTGAGTACCCAGGCTGGAGAGCATGATCGACTATTAGGCTGCATTTATTCCGTCTTTGCTCTACATCCACCATACAAAAGCACAAGCCAAAACCCAGCGATACATTAAATCCACTTTTCTCTCTAAACACTTATCAAATAATATAGTGCCTTAACATGAAAATACAAATCGACAGGACCTCTCCTTGTTTCAATGTACTCATCGTCTTGGAAACTGTAGAAGACAAAACAACGAACAAGCGCCACCTCTCACCCAAAGACCAAGCGCAACGCTTGCAATGTAAAAGTCCGGTAGGCTGAAAAGTTGAGTATTTTTCATTTGCTTAAGGATCTCTTCGTTCGTACAATAGCAGCAAGTTGATAAACTTCGATTTTCTCTTTCTGGAGATAAGGAGATGTTACGAGATACGGTGTCAAGTTGAGCCACCAATGAAAATTCCTTGAGACTTCGTTACCAGACTAAAATAGTACTAAGATCTTGCGAATTGAGCACAAATCTGCTTTTTGACGCTCGACTTGCTCTTATCTGAAACTACAACGTACCCACTGCTCAACAGTTACTCATCTATCAGTCGATCTTTTACGACTCCTACGTCTGCATTTGCTCACACATCTACCTGCCATCACCTCTTACTTCTGCATGTCCAAGGACTGTTGGTAAGCAGCAATCGCTTTTTCGTGATCACCTTTTTCAAAAAGGATTTTACCTAAAAGCGTCGAATTCGTCGCCGATGGCTCGAGCTCCAACGACTTTGTAATGGAAGCCACCGCTTTTTCCAGATTTTCGTCGGCATAAAAGGCCCGACCAAGCAACGAATGAAGAGCCGGATCGTCTGGTCGAATTTCAACTGCACGTGTAAACGCTTGCACCGCAGCACTTACGCTTCCTTTTTCCATCAGCACGTGGCCAAGATTCACAAGCACGTCGACTTCTGGCAACGTATCACAACCGACATCGTTTTCACTCTCATCTCCTAGTTCCATTTCGCCTTGTTCAACATTCATCGTAGCTTTTGCTGCTTCTACTACCGCTTTTTCATCATCATCATCATCGTCATTATCGTCAACGTCATCAATCAAGTATTCCTTCACCTGATCATGAATTTCAGCATCTGCGTCAGCATCATGAAAATCACCAAGATCCGTCTGACGTTCTTCAAAGTCGGAATCCGAGTCTGATTCATCCAGATCATCGTACGTCGACTCAACAGCTGCGATCGTATTCAGTGCATCTTGCAATCGAGTTGTTCTTTGCAACGATGGTGTCTCAACAATTGAATTCGAGCGCATCTGTTGCTGTAACTGAATTTGTGTTGTACCAAACATGGGACTATCAATATCAACCTCACGTGCTGGACGAAAGTTTCCAGCACTTTTTGTCCGATTAAGCAATTGACCCGTTGATCGGTACATGGCAAGACCCGGATTTGGTATAGGGCCAATAGGTGATTGTACAGGTTTTGAGGCACCAGTGCGCATTTGCAGTGGAAGTGAATTCTGACGATCACGAGATAACGATACAGTACTTCCAACAGTACTGCTATTACTACCTCGAGATCCATTCGTCAGACGATCTGGGTCATTTAGCATTTCAGCTTGTACCCGCAATTGCTTTTCGGCTTGTTGTTTCTCTTCCATTAACATGGATACTTGCTTTTGTAAACTTGCAACTTGTTCATTAATAATCGCATCAGTTCCACCTCGATATGGTCCGGTCACATAAGTTGGTGCACGTGCTGGTGCCGACACATGTCGCTCTAACAAGCTCGTTGGAGACCGTGGTGTTTCTTCAGACCGACGAGCATCTCCACTCACGGCCTGACTAGCACGCACTGGTATAGTCGGTCGTTGTGCCACTTGCATAGTAATCTGTTGCTGTCGTACCTGTCGACTAGCATTTCGTAACACATCGTGGCACACGACGCAAACACGATGACGATCACTGAGACCATAATGTGGCAATTTCATACGTTCACGTGCCGAATGGTCGCGACAGATTGATTGACCGCAATTACGACAATGGTGGCGTTTTTTGAACGTCCCAAATTTTTGGGCACATATGCTGCACATGGGGGCATTCATCCAACGTGGTGGAAGAGACACTGCACCTCGTAATGTAGTTGATGGTCGTTGTGCTGAAATAGACTGTGGTCGTATACTTTCTATTGTTCGACGAGGGGACCATGGACTTGGTACTGACTGGACATGAGGGGTACTCAATGTCACATTTACCTGCTGCGTGTAAAAGTCATTGTCCGAGAACGATCGTAACTTAAGGGACGCAGTGCTACTGAGTCTTCGCATATGTTGACCATATTGTCCAGTACTTACACGTTGTGATACTGGTAGATCTCCAGCAATGGCTTGAAAACGTTCAGAAGGACGTAAGTGACCTTCATCATCGTGCTGTTGACTCTCTTGCTGAACTTTGGCCTCTTGTTTCTCCATCGCAAGTTGATCTGGTAACCCTTCCTTTGCACATACGTGATGATACATTTCTTCAAGTAGTTTGATACTACGATTTGGTAATCCAGCTTTTCGTGCAAGCTGCACAGCATTTTCACCCGTTGGTGCCTTTTTCAATACTGCATCTGGATACGATGCTAAAAGAGCTTGAAGCCACTCAATTCGAGCTTGTGCTTTGATTGCAATCTGAAGTGGTAGCATCTCGGCTGTATTTGGGGCACGTGAACCTGTTGGGAATGCTTTTAATAGTGCTAAAAGTACACCTTCACCAATAGATTGGGGCTCGGTACACGCCCAATGGAGTGGTAACATGCCATACGAATCAACTTGCTGCGCCGTTGCTGGCTCAGCATCAACAAGACGTCCGAGCTCTTCCCACCGGGAACTTTTAGCCAATTTAATCGCATCCAAACGCTTACTTGCCATGACAGAGAGGAAAGCTGCACTTGATCCTCTGGCGGGTGACGACGTCGCACGACGCCACGAAAAGACCAATGTACTGAGTTAGCAAAAAGATTATCGGTAAGGAACGGGACACGATTTTCGGACAGACGAGGCAAAGATCGCGTGCGTGCGAATACTACGACAGCGGACTGGTCAAGTTTATATCGCCCGCTTGACAAGGCGCGACAAATCAAGCTGGACAGCGGACTGACAGATGGGAGGAAATAGGACACCGAATCGTTGTGCAAGAGGCGGACGACATGGCTGTTAAGACATTACCGGTACTTAGTGGAGGACAAGAAACTTTTGCAAGTAGTATGCTATATCGTAGGTCCCCTCAAGAAATCCTCGTTCTGCATTTTTGGTCTGGAAACGACGAGCAAAGGTGAGCAGCCACGCCCCCATCCCCGTGCTTAGTCACGAACGTTCTAACTACGTGCCCGTGCACTCACAATTTACGTCGTTTTCAAAATACGCGTCTTCACTTGCTATGGATGTTGTAGAAACGGAAACAGATGGTTCAGATCCTATGGAATTGCTGCATGTCAAAAGGCAAGGACAATTCGAGAGCTTTACGCGCCACCGATTGCAAGAGACGCTCATGCTCATGGGCTGTAGACCAAAAGATGCTGTAATTGTTACGAAAGAGGTTTTTGTAGTCTTCCAAAAGCATTTGTCGAGAGAATGCAATAGCAAAAATGACTATCACGATGAGGACACGAAAGACCCTCGTTTCTCGATGGCTCTACCATGGCATTTATTACATCAGTGCATCTACTCATCACTAGCAAGACTGGATTATGTTAAACCACACCATTTACTGGACTTTGAAGTTGCCAAGGAGATTACGCAAAGGAATCAAAGCTTTGCCGTCCTTTTGGGGGGGACCTCTGGTACCGGAAAATCGACATTAGCGTCGTTATTAGCTGCTCGCCTGAGACTGACTACGGTACTACCAACCGACTCAGTGCGTCATGTCCTACGATCGTTTACGTCGAAGGACGAAAATCCATGTGCCTTTGTATCAACTTATCAAGCGGGCGATGCGTTATCAAAAGAGATGATTGCAGCGATTCATGGAGATCGAGAAGATATGTCTGCTGCTCGATTGCATAAGAAAATGGTTTTGAAAGGGTATAAGTTGCAGTCGAATCTTGTGTTGGAAAAACTTGATCGTATTCTTACAATGTTTGAAGAACGTAAACAATCACTGGTGGTAGAAGGTGTGCATTTAAACACTGTCGATCTTTTAGCACTTGTGAAAAAACACCCAACGTGTGTGCCTTTTGTAATTTATATCAGTAACGAGAATAAACATCGGGAGCGATTTGCTGTTCGGGCGCGCCACATGACAATTGATCCACAAGAGAACAAGTATATCAAACATTTTGATAACATTCGCATCATTCAGCGTCATTTGTGCAAACATGCGGATCGATATTTGATTCCGAAGATTGACAATACAAATGTCGATCGAAGTATAGCAACGATCCAAAGTACATTGGTACGAGTATTGCGAAAACTTGATCGTGGTGAACAGCTCGTAGATGCCAAGATTGGCAAGTTTGTTACGCTCTCGCGGGAACACGAAAACTCGACGAAGAAGGGCTGGTCCAGCAAAGGTGTGCGCAAAGCGATGCGTCCATTGCTAAAGCAAAAGGTTTCAAAACGACTGCTGCTGCGTCGACTGCTTGCTGAGCAAACGACGGATAGATTTGGAGCTCGTGACCCCCATCAAGGAGAAGATTCGTCGAGTAGCGAAGAGGAAGAAGATGATGCAAGTCGCGAAGCAGATGATGAACGAAATGTTGATGAAGATGACGAAGACGAAACGACGATTGTAGGCAGCCTACTTAGTGGTACAAATCCACACGATTATTCGTCCACAGCATGTCACGTTTCGTCCTCCAGTACACAAGGACAAGCGACACCAACGCGTGTTGCTATTCAAAAACAAACGTTATTAGACGAGATTGAAGAACACTCAGCTGGTACAAGCGATAATGCCGAGCTGATGCGTTCGCTGTCGCAGGCTGTTCGTCAAGCAGCAGTCTGGCGGGCAAGTCAACCGCTGACACACTATACAGATTGGGAATCGCATGTTCCACCGCGTAATCCAGAAGTCACGTTTTCGGATGTCATGGAAAATATTCCAGCTTTTGCAGCTGTCGTAGAACGAGGCAAACGATTTTCGTGGAATTCCGAAGAGCGACGCAAGTCATGGATGGCTGGCGATCAGCTTGCTGATACGTCAAAACAAGTAACGAGTAGCACAACACCACCTGTGAATGCATCACGGCAATTTAAAGCATTTTTAGAAAGTCAACGCGTTGAAGGCGAGGCACAATTGCAAATGCAGCGGACACAACAACAGCTTCAGCAGCAACAAGTTTTGCCAATGCATCATCAACTACCGCCTATTGGAAGGCGGACAAAAGCACTTGCTCGAAGGGTACAGTCGTTACCTGTAGTGCCACATCAGGATAGCTCAAGTAGTTTGGATTTTGACTTTGACAGCGTGTCAATGACAGATGCCAATGAAGATGGCGATCGTGTCTCCCAAATTTCTTCTCCACGCGACGGATGTAAGTGCTGTAAGAGGCTTTGTGATCTAAACTGTATTGACGATTATGTTTGTTCGCAGGTGTCTCACCGTTGGAGCATAGTTACGATGATACTGACAGCCACTTTGACGTCAGCTCACAGAGCTCTGTCGAGTGAACGATGATTTATTGCCAATCTTTTTAACTAAAATGAGATGATCAGAATTTAATACCTATCTTGCGGAATAGATTGTTTATCTTTTAAGAAAAAACATTTTAGCCAACCATTTTATCGGATCAGTCTCGCTCTCGACCGTTGCTCAGTCGTATTTCAACCCATTTCAGTTCCAAATATTCTTCGTCATGACGTGCGCTGGCTACCTAGTTGTGAACAACACTCATCTTGCGTACGTGGAGATCTTTACGGGTCTCTTAGTATGTTTCTTGGACTTGGAATCCTTTATGGATCCTGATGATGTGTCAAACCAAGCGCCGGTGCCGCTGGAGACACGGCGTATGATGAAAGTGGAAGCTCACACGTCATCTTGTAAGATTGACGACCAGCTTCAGCAACCTGAGAGTGAGATTGAGCCTCAAGACAGTTGTAAACGCCAGCGATTATTACAACTTAGTGGCTACAGGATTGAGGTAGTAGACCAGGATGTGGAGCTAGACGTGCCCTCGCTACCTTGTTCATTTCAAGTGAACACGTACAAAGTGCATTTGCGACCAGATGGAAGTTTTATTAGTACGCTAAGTGACTCACTTATTCTCACTGCTACAAATCACGAGACGAAACAGACTTGGGTGAAAAATATCAAGTTTTGGAATCGATTTGGTTGGCGAGAGACTACACAGGTGGCTGCCACACACCGTGATCTAGTTCAGCTCCAAGAAAAGCTGGAGACTTACAACAATGTTACGTTTGCAGGCGCGTATTTAAACTACAGCAATGATGCGACTCCTTCTTGCGAACGGAATATTGCCGTAATGACGTATGGTGGCTGTAGTAGCATAACCACCCAATCGGCGTACGCTACGAAGCGTCAAACGCGACGACGTTTCTACCGCGCACCCGCTCCTGGCGCATTTGTTCATTGTTGTGAAAATCCTATTAAAGGGAGTTAGTCTTCGACCCTTTAGGTGTACTTAACTTATTACTATTACAGTACTGCAGCGCAAAGACTATTTTACAAATTATTCTTTTTCAATTTTAGTCATTTCTAAAAATGAGGTAGTCAAAAACACCAACGTTTCTATCGTGAATATGTTGCTGCTTCGATGTGCTCATCTATCCCATCGCTGAGTCAATTGTCCGCGTTGAATCAAGTCCTTCGGGAAGCAAACGCATGTTGGACCTCATTGTAGATGATGTGGACATTTGAAGTCCGTTTTCTGGGACCTGGAGTTGCAGCTTTGCAAGGCGGAGACGACGGTCACGACGCGCCTTGAGACTTTTGACGCGTGGCTGGCGGAGTGATGTACCACAGACACGGCAAAAATTAGCATCATCTTGGTGTAGCCGACGGAAGCAACGTGGACACTCGATAACTTCGGTCAGAATATCCTGCGATCCTGTTTGATTTAAAATGAGCGGACACGCAATTATTCCGTACCCCACGAACATGACAACCGTTGCAAGCATACGACCAACGATTGTATGTGGTGATATATCACCGTATCCCACGGTGGTCATGGTCACAACAGTCCAGTAAAGACTAATGGGAATATTGGAAAAGTCGTGACTATCGCCTTCAATCAAGTACATAGCACATCCAATCACAAGAATCATCGTAAATAGTGCAACGAGAAACACGGCAATCCGTCGCTTGTTGGTCTCAATATTGTCACTTAAAGCAGCACCCGCATCCACGAATCGCGCTAATCTTAGCAATCGAAAGACGCGCATGACTCGAAATATCCGCAATACTGCCAAGTGTAACAATGGTCTTGCATCTGGTAGAATGAATCCCAAATACGATGGCACTAATGCACACATATCGACAAACCCCATCAAACTGAAAGCAAAACTGCTTGGATTCCGAAGTGAGAGTAAGCGCAGACAATATTCCACTGTGAAGACTACAGTGAAAAAGGCTTCTAAAGCCAGCAAATAGTTGCCAATGTCGTCTCTACACTAAAACAGTTAGCTAACAACACCAAATAGCAGCCATCTTCAAAGCAATACGTACCGGAAATCGTCCACACTGTCCAAAACGGCTGTTTGAGCCAAGCAAAGCACGCAAAACGTCAGTATGGTTACTCTCTTTTGATGCCATTGACTCGCAGCAATAACTCACCAACCACAACACTCATGGACACCATAACCAGCAGCACAAGCGCCACGCGCTGGCCTGTAGGTGTTATGCTTTTGAACATAATTTCGTAAACGCCCTCCCATCCACTCCGTGCTCCGCCCTTTACCTCACTATCAACTAATATACCATTCACACGAAAGCGCGGGTCATGTCCTAACATTCTGCTGTCAATCTTAGCGGTTGATGCGTCCGTGTCCACATCGTCATCTGACAGCTCCTCGGGCTTCGAATGTAGTCGATGCCGCGATTTACCAGTCTCGACATTATTGTCAGTGCTAGTCGAGTCCCTGAAGCCCCCAGGACTCAATTCCACAGAGCTCTCTACGTGACCATAGCTGATTTCCTTCCCCTTCTCGACTTTGAGTTCCTTGAGGTGCGACAGCATCGTAAATTTGCGAGGACGTCATGACCAGAACGATTTGTGTGGCCCACGTAAGAATTGGTATATTTGGTATGCATGTATACATCAGTTTGCTAATGCTAAATTTACACTCGAAGACTTGTTGAATGGATGAGGATAGCGAAGTCTAACTTGGACGCTTTGACTTCGGGCAATAATGACGAGAACTTTATTGACGATCGCAAGCATTTTGAAAAGACGATGGTATTAGTGATCAGTCTTTAAAACGCAAATTGGGGGATGGGTACACCCGATCATAAACGTGCTACTCGGACTTTTTGCGCTTGCTATTTCTCGTGTCAGCCTCGGTAGTTACTTTTCCAGATTAATGCAGTCCAGCAATAATTGTGAGCCACTTCTTGCTTGAAGCATATTTGCGTTTGCCGACTTGAAAAGAGATTAGAGCAAAAATTGAGCTGACATGGTGCTGCAACTCGTCAAGAACGGTGAAGATTTCGATTTGATATGATGGAAATGTGTCTTTTATTCAAACTCCTGGCTGCAACGGATAGACTTAAATGAATCCTTACCTACATTGACGATAATATCGGTGCACTTCCGTAGCTTAAAGCGTCAAGTGGAGAAGAATATGCTCTCCTTACCTTGGCAAAGTTAAGCAACAGACTGTTCTCGTAATCTGACAGCAATTGATTATGAGGAAGATCAAAAGAAATCGCATCGATCAGTTGATACAGTCACTTTCTTTTTACAGATTAAACGTCAATATAAGGATCACGGCTTTTCGCTGCAAGGGTGGGGTACGTTTTACCCCAAAAAGATCATGTGAGAGCTAAAGTTCAAGGCAACAAGCAACAATCTGGGAAATCTGCTGGCTTTAAACTCGTCGCGTGCGAGTCCGTCATGAAAAGCTTCATTCGCGCTGTAAATTGAAAAGTGGAAAGAACAATCAATACTAAAAATTTAGACAAGGCGTTTGGATTTTCGTAGAAATGGCCAGCACTACATGATATTCACGACTTGAATGGGTTATGATACGTAGATAGGGCAAGGTGCAGCAAGAAAAAAGCAAAAGGAACAAGAAAAAGAAAAAGAGCAAGTGTAGGGGACACTTTCGAACTAATATCAGAGGAGTTCTTAGAGTGTTATATTACGAATTGGGATATGGATTGAGCATAAAGAAACTTCAAATTTGTGGATCATTCTCACCAAGAAGGAATGTTGTTCGAGACATGAGAGGAAGGTGCAGCGAAAAGTATTTGCAGTTACTTCCAGAGACATGCCACGTTCCAGAATGAACCGAATGATGATTGCCTGAGTGCTAAGTCTCAAGTCGTTGAAAATCACAAGGCTTCACTCAACGACAGCAGGTCCACTATGCACTGCACGTAAAAGCTTCAACGAGGCAGACACCTTACATGATTGGAAGCAATTGCTGCAAGAGTATACGCGCCGAAAAGGCACAGAAGGAGCTTGAAAGCCGTACATCTCGTCCACGGCTCAATTCTCGATCAGTAGATGCTGCTCTCCACTGCTCGATTGACAAACCGATGACTACTGCTACGGTCTCAACTTTGAGTGGCTCCTCGGCGTCAAACGAAGTGTTCGGAAAAATTCTAACAGTTTGTTTGGAAGCCAAAATACCTCATCAATAGCTCGAGATCCGAGTGAGCAACGTTAGATTGACAAATATGAACGTATTGACAATTGAAGACCGATTATAGACCCATTACGTTGCTTTCAAAAGAATATATTCACAGTCAATTCCTCACGAAGACTGATTCAATGCGCAAAAAATATTCAAACCTGCAACCAAATTATAGTGCTTTCTTCCCACTTTTTGCAATTGCTTGAGCTACAATATAACTAAATTAAGGAGATAGCGTATGAAGGTCGATTATCAGCTTTGATTCCGATGATGCATAGCTTATGACCGTAAGAAGAGGACAACAATTTAGAAATATAGCTTTCTGAATAAGTTGACAGCAACATGTCAAAGGCACATTTGTTCCTTCACGTGTCACGAGCTAAACTTTTCTCTCGTAGAGGTATACCGTATTGCGAAGAAGTTCAGTCTCAGCAGCCACAAGCCAGCAGCGACGTACTTTACTGTGTTAGAAACAATGACCATGGCAAGCCAATAAGACTTTTCAATAGTCCATTGCTACGTGTTCATGCAGTTCGTATTAGCTTTGCAATGTACTCTTTGAAGCAGGCTCTTACTGTCTTCAAATGTCCTGGTTGATTACCTTGGTACAAGTCCACGCGTACTGGTGTTATAAATGTAGCAACTTCTTCACTTACGAAATCTTGGAGCATGTCAGAATGTTTGACATGGCATAACTCTTGGCTATTTTGTCTCCATCTTCGGCGAGTGGGCACGACCGACGCACAAATTATTGTATCTGACTGGAGATTAACAAATATAGAATTTGGTTATTGATCACAAGTCAAAATCGCTCCGCTTTTATTTCGTTATACTGGTTGAGGGGCTCAGTTGTAGTTCGTTTTTGCGAATGGTACGCAGAATTGTTGCGCTCTCGCGAGCAAAATACGCACATCATTAAGTGCAAATTCCATTTTTTTTAATTTATTGTATTTGTGATGACGGCCCGCAGATTTTACAATCTGTGATACCCAAAATCTTTCGGCTTTAAGCATCAAAACTATAGTAAGGTCGGCTTTCAAATAACAGTCATTGTTTTGCTTTTGTAAGGCCTACATGATTTTTTTAAATGAGTTCATGCCACGCAATAATATCTCAGATCGATGATCTGCAATTTTGGTCAGGTGGTGTGAGAGTAGCTAATGAAATGGTATCCATTTTTCGTTATTAGGAGAGCAAGGGCTGCGTAAAGTAAAAATACTCATGATGTAAAGATTAGTTTGTGGCGAAAATTGCTGCGCTTGGCCTTGATAATTTGTGAATGTTTTCTGCTATAGTCAAAGAAAGTGTCCGTGTTGAGCTTGCGAAATCGATCAAAAGCTCGATTTTGTGTCCAAGATGACATTTCTTAGTGAAATCTATCCAACATCTTCTATCGGGTTTTGTTTGACAGTGTGTCATGTGGTAATCCGGAAAATACTGACTTCGGATGTGGAATACGAAAAGATGACAACCCATATTCAAAGCTCACAGCATTAAAATGACCAAGAGCCGATTGTACGTCAACGAGAATTGCAACTATCTCGCAGTAATAACGTATTAAAGTCCCACTAGCATTGGAATGTAAACTGCAGCATCTCTTTCTCTTTGCTTTCGCTTCTATCCAAAATAATGCCACAAAATTGTCAAATCTAGGACTCCCGTACTCGATATGATCATCATCGCCGTCGTATTGATCTTGAAACAAGCTTCTGCAACATAGTCAACGTCATGTTTTGCCTTGTAGAAATCTCCCATCGTTTACCCAACATCCAAATGGGATCCAGTGTCATGATTTGAAGGAAAATCTTATGAAAAAAGATAAATTCAAGTGCCACATTGATTTCTCCAGACTATACGGCTTGAAATACTTGCTGCCAATTGGACGAAGTCGCTTGTTCAAAAGCTTACCTTTAAAAAGTAATCAACGTTAACTCATCCATACAAAATCAACCAATTAAATTCTGTCTGTTCAAACGTCAGCGCTGAAGTCGAGTTCGCTATGCTGGATCTTGATGACTTCTACGACATCGGATTGCCAATCTACCTTGGTTGACTACTACGATATGAAGATGTCGCAAGTTCCTGTTGCTTGGCGTGTATCGATTGCACAAGTGCCAGGCACATAAATTGCCTTCGCGCAAGCTTTCTAACCTCTTTTAGAAAGACGGAAAGTACTATCGCATCATTGCTTATTGCGCGGTCCATATAGTACAGCGCGTCATCAATTGCATGCTGCTCTGCCAGCGTCGCAATCAATCTGTACAAACACCATAAGTGTCGCTGCTACTTTAAGTATAAAGAGATGGTACGTACTGTTCTGAAAGGGCATCGCCTCCTACTACAATCGAATCCGGATCCACAGTCTCTTTATTCTCATTGTCGTTCAGCCAAGTCGTAACTTCTGAATCTTGTACATCTACCAAGTTCTTTGCACGTGTCAGATCGTCCCGGAGAGCACGTAATGACTGCAGACCACGTTCAACATTCTCTTGTGACTGTGCCAGCTGCACTTCATGCTCGAATTGAACATCCATATCGTCTCGTATGCGTTTAAATCGCTTTTCCATTAGCATTTGAATTTTTCTCGTCACTTCCGATTTCACAACCCCTAGACGTTCTTGAGATGACCCATATGACCCTGAATTTGACATAGACGAATGTTGACTAGTATTTTGAGTCCATACACCACTATCATCGTTCTGTCTTGAATGAGATTGAAATTGTGAGAGATAGTGCGGTGACGGTTGTGGTGGATGCGTTTGGGCAAATGATCCTTGCTGAAAGTATCCTCCTGTTCCACTACTGACTGCCGACGAGCTATGAGTGGCTCTGTTTTGAGAGTTTACGACGTCTGGTCGACGAAAAACTGGGGGCATATTGCCAAATATACTGCATATATGGGCTATAAGTTCCAGCAACGTAAAGTCCTGTCGCCAGTCGCTCGTGTACGGGATTTTGACGTATCCGTCGCTTGTAACGTGCGGATGATTAGGTTTGACCATCATGTCAATTGTTGGACGTACGAAACATACTGGAGGTGACATGGGGTACGTTTCGACAATCCAAAACTCAACAGGAATATTGTACTGATTGTTTCGGTAGAATATGGGGATTGTGCCTTCGAGATTAAGTAAAGTGCTGGTTGTTCCGTCATTATGAGCTAATGGCGTGAAGATATGATGTAAGATCATAATTTCATTATGTAGACATCAAAAGAATCTCACGTACTATATGTTCCACAGTTGGGCTGCAGAGACGGAATTTGGCCAAGCAAATTGTACACATCGCCACGTACACGAGAACTTTGCTGTCGATATTATGAAATCGCATATTAGCAGTAATGGGAAGGGAAATAGGGAGTCGTCAATATTTACCGGGTAGCACTGTAATGATGACAAGATTTGGTCCAAATTGCTCACGTTGTTGGCATACATGGCGACAGAGGATGTGCTGTTCCGTTTACAAGATATGTGGTATACACAACATCTATGTAAACTGGATTTTTGAGTCGAAAGTTAGTACTTTTCTGATTTTGTGTCGATTACAATTCTACAGCTTACAAGTAAGTTTGTCCAGAGGTTTAGTTAGAATCACTTACGAGTAAATAATGTTGAAGTTAACGGTGCAGCTTGCAGGACAGCTGTGCCACCCGACGTGAATAATTGTCTGCGGTGCCGCTGCCTATTCTTGCCGTCCACAGCTTCTAATGCTTTTCGTCGTAAATAAGGCGTATCTCGAGGGCTACCGATGGCGATTTCGACGCCCTGGATATGGTCACATTTTTTTGAACGCATCTGTATTGTCTCTTCCATTGCAGCGTAAAAACGAACAAGTTCATTGAATAACGCAAGACGCAGCGCATTTGACACATATAAGTCGCCTGGAGGAAGTTTGGGAAGAGACTGGCGCAATTCGGCAAGAAGCGTGGCGGAGATTGGAATTCCACTAATTAGATGCAGCATAAAGAGGTTTTGCTGCTGTTTGCTGCTTTTGACCAACTCTTTTAAATCAGGCAGCACACAGCTTTCAGGTTGACGCTCTGTAGTAACCAATTTATCCATTTGTTCTTGGTGTCGAGAAGTTGGAAGAAGTTCAATTTGGCGCTTTATAGTAACTAATTCATCCATTTGTTCTTGTTCTCTAAGAATTGGTAGAAGGTCAGTCTGGCATGACATATCCTGAGGTTCTGCTTTTGTAATTTTAATATCGCGAATCATGGGATACATGGTCATTGCAGCTGCTATTGCCATCGTTTGAGTGTCAGTAGACGATGAAGATGGTAAAAGTTGCTTGTGAACATGTTCAGCTTGCTTTGTATCTCGACCATTTCGATTCGCTGACCTTGACAAAGCCAAAATGGCAGCACGTAGAATCAACTTAAGTGGTTTCGCTGATTTTTTAGACTGAATAGGCTTGTCTTCGTGGCACACCAAATCTGTCTGGGCATCCGAGACCGAGGATTGACGTAGTGCATGATACAACATTTTAAGTGACTCTTTGACGCGTTGCAAATGCTCACTGCGTCGAGCTTGCTCGGCGTGGAACTTGCTTTGGACAAGTTGCAATAATTTCTCAATCTCCTGTCGATGACTTTCGCTCTCAAGAGCTTGGCGTCGTTCACACTGTTGGATTATTAATGACTTGTATTCCCATAAGTTTTCAACATAATGCTGCTTCACAGCGTCGATTTCATGCTCGTACATTTTTTGCAACGTATCCAATTCTGAGCGAGATATCATGTCTTCGTTTACTAATTCAGCTGCAGCTATAGGGCTCCTTTGAATTGTACTTAATGATGTAATAGTGAATTCTTCATACTGAGCAATCCTTTCGTCTAACGTCAAATCGCTTTCCTCTGGTAAATACAAAGGAAACATGGTGGTCAAGACATGCTGCATGACGCTATTCAACTCTTTTTCGTCTCGTTTGACCTCTTCGTCACTATTCCCGTCAATGGAGTTGGTGTCACTATCTCTGTTTAATAAACCCTCTGTTTCCTGCGTCGTGCCCATCAGTGGGAGAGATAAATCATTATTGTAGACCTCGAAAGAGCTTTTCGGCACATTCCCGGTCTCATTTCTTGAATTTTCTTCACGCAGCCTTAATGCGAACAATGCAGGAGTTGTCTCTAATTTGTTAACGTCTTTGTCTTGAAGTAGATATCTAGACTTCCGATGCTCACCAAAGCGAGCTTGGACTTCTCGTAACCGTTGTAACAGTTCAGCATTCTCAATTTGTAATCCCTGTTTGACATTTCTGACTTCAGAAAGTGTCTTCTCGAGTTGACAGATATTGTCTTTCATCTCGTGAAGATCTTTGCTGGTGTACTCTATAGTACGCTTTTCTTCTAATACCTCGGCTTTTGTCTTTCTGATCGTTGCCTGTGCATCAGCAAGTGTTGCAGCCTGTGCTGCTGCCGCAGCTCGAGTACGAGCTGCTTCGATTTCTTTATACCGATCCATTTCCTGCGTTTTCGTTTGCAATACAAACGTGTGCTTAGCAATCTCTTCACTTTGCACACGAACTTTAGCGACCAGCTCCTCAACCTTCGCTTCTGCAGCCGTTACAGCTTTAGCACTTGCTTGAAATTTATCACGCCACGATGCAGCTCGTACATTTGCAATTTCTGCAGCACTTGCGCTGTGTTCTTGAAGTTGACGAAGTTCCTCCGACTGAACTCGCAGCGCTCGTTCAGCCTTTACAAGATCTTGTGCTTGCTGTTCAATCGTAGTACGTAAAGTTTGCTGAAGTCGTAATACTCCTTGTAATTGGTTCGCCATGGAATCCTTTTCACGATAAAGTGCGTCAATTGTAAACTTCAATTGATGTTCTCGTTTCTTAAATTGATGTTCTCGCATAGCAAGCGGTAAAGTATTCGTCTCGTCATCCTCCTCACTATTATCTGCCATTTTGTCAGCAACAACATGATGCAAAGCATGACGAATGTGTGCAAGGCGGTGATGCCGCTGTGCAGCGTGTTCTTCAGCTTCATTAAAAGCATCTCCCATTCTTAACGCTTGGCTACCGATTGCAGCGTTCGCTTTGAGATCGTCACCGAATTCTGCAAACATCTGATGTGCTGTGTTCCTACCTGCTTGAACCAACGAACGGTGTGTTGAAAGCAGCACGTCACCCACTCGCCATCGAGCTGGAATCCGCACCACTTCATTCTCAAGCGAGACCTCTTCATCTTCAGTGTCCGTACAAGTTACAACATCGTTATAACGACGCACTAGCTCCTCCACTCGCGACTGAATTTCGGCAATCTTTGAATTAACCTCTATACCTTCTACTTCTGATGCTGCTAAAGTCGAAGCGCTTTCATACGTTACACTGACATTCCTCTGCTGTGCACACTCGCAAAATGCACTTGTCTGTGGACGTGTAGCAATTAATTGTCGTGGTGACGGTGTAAACCGATTGGGTCCATGATGAGGTGGTAATGGCGCAGTAGCACTCCTACTCACCATACGTCAAACAAGTAAGTGGCAAGCTAAGGTAGACTATTTTTAAGACAGAATTTTAATGGTTTGACATATTGTGAAGACTACGAACGAAATCTGTCCTTGCCCATGACCACGATTTTAGGAGTTGTCATTGATGCGAATGAGCTTTTTCTCTACATCTTCGAATCGTTCCGATCCAGCTCGATCGCGGTGAAAGTAACCTTGAATTCGCTGCTTTTCGGTTTCGTTAAGAGATTCAAGGCAGAATTTAAGGTGCGCAGGAGTCAAATCTTTTCGAGTAATCACACCGCGTACTTCATTTCGTCGGTTCAATACGATGAGATGACGAAGTCCTAACGATCGGAATAATCGAAAGGCACGAGGCACTGGAGTTTGTTCTTGAACCGTGTGGGGTGTCGGGTTCATATAAGGCGTGAGATCCATCCACAAGTCCCGTTCGTCATCATCCAGCTGAATGTCATTAATTGACGGATATCGCGGGTAGCTCCCTTCCATGTCGCGATACGACAGTGCGTACTGATCATTGTATAACAGTGTCGTGTCACTTGCAGGCGTACGTACAAATGGTTCTGGCTTCTCGATGAAAAAGTCCTTGCGTTGAAGCAGGACAGCTAGATGATGGCGGTAGATGATTCCTGAAAAACGTGGCGACTTGCGCTTGTCACCTAAATTTAGCCGTTGGCCACCTCCCGCCGCATCTTGACTGCGAGGAAGAATGACTGGAAAGCCACTATGATTGCAATTCTTAAGCACATCGTATATCTCACCAACTTTGGCAATTTGTGGCACGCACATTGTTGGTGAGCTCATAATATTAAGTGCTCTCAAAAATCGGGCGTAGTATGGAGGATCGAATTCGAGGAATGGTAAATGGTTCAGATGAATGTGAATGTCATACAGACCCTCGTTGAAGCTATTACCAACCCAGCGAGCTGCCATGAGTGACACCATTATAGGAAGACCCCATTCAATTACTCCTGTACACTCGAGAATGATTACTGTGAGCGAAATAGTCATGCGCGCCATACCACCGAGCATACAAGCAGAGCCTATCAGTGCAAACATTCCGTCTTGTGCACCAACTTGGAAACCCAGCGAATGTACAATCATGACGCAAATACGTCCGTACGCAGCACCGGCAAGTAAACTAGGCACGAAGAGACCCGATGGCACAGCGATGCCGTATGTCCAGCAAGCAAAAATGTAGAAGACGACAAAAAACATACACAGCGAGAAGGCCGTAAAGCTGGAGGCTGTTGTAAAGTGTAGCAGTTGCTTCATACTCGTAGCGTAGTTGACTGTAAACAGCGACGCCAGGTCATTGTACTGACCTGTAGGGCAGTAGAATTGCGAAAGTGAGTCTTTGTAGTCACCAGCAAGATCACGACAAGTACCAAAGAAGTACGAGAGCCAGAATGATGCAGTTGCCATGCAAAATGCAATCAGTAATGCTTCTCCGAATCGCAACAAGCGGTGGGTCACATAACGCTTGCGAAATTTGGTTAGCACCATGTTAGCACCATTAAATCCAGCACCGAACAGACCGCCAATCATGCCCATCACTATAAAAACAGGCACATCAACAACTTCATACGCTTTACTGCCTGTAAATTGACCAAATGTGAAGGTTCCCGTTTGTGTGCCTAAAGTCCCACCAATAGAGACATGACCAACATCCGGCGTTGGACCACTCGCTTCACTGGCTTCCATGAATGACATAAAGTAATTAAGCACAAAAGCTGAGACCATGGCACAGAAAAATGTGCGCCATGTGAGGTTTTGATGCCAAAACGACGCGCCTTCTTCTAATGCAAACAACACACCACCAATCGGGGCACCAAATGCAGCCGCCACACCAGCAGCTGCACCGCACGAGATGAAGTCACGCTTTTCCTTGTCATTGCGAAATCCTTTAAACTTAGTCCAGCTCGTGTCAAGACCAAAGCTTGAAGATTTTCCCTGTGACAGACCAGCGCCAATGACTGAGCCACTGTGAATCATAGGTCCTTCTTTTCCAACAGGCAAGCCCCCAGCTACACTAAATAGGATGCCAAATGCTTTGCAAAAGAGCGTTTTGAGTCGTACGACGCGGTGAATCTTGATTCCATTCAAAGTCGCTTTGATCTCAGAGATACCGGATCCACCAGCAACAGGGCAGAGAATCGCGACACAATAGCTCGCCACAGCGACAAACGCGACGCTTATCAGCGTATAAACGAAGTATCCAAAACCAAAAGTGCGGATACCATTTCTCTCATCTGCCACAAGAGAATTTAAGGTAAACGTACGGAATGTCGACAGCAATGACGTCCAAAATTCGACAAAACAGGCAACCAGAGCTGTACCAAGTCCAACACCAAAGGTCATGACCCAACGCGCGATATTAAGCGAGCGAATAGCACTCTCTGTCTGCTCTTGGTCGTGTTGCATATTCACTCGACTTTCAAAAAAGTCGTAATTAAACGACTCGCGGTGTTGTGCCTTAGCACGCTTTTCAATGTCCGACTCCTTCTGTTGCTGCTTGCGCATCGCGGCATAGAATGGATTGCGTCCCTTGCTTTTTAACCAATCCATCAACGTCGAACCATTACGCTGTCGAAGCGCTTCTTCAATTTCAAACCGTGAGAATCGAGCACCAGAGTACAAGTCACTTGGAAACGAGTGTGTTCTCTGTACACCATACGTTTGGTACTGTTCGCGCGCGTGCGACTCCATGGGACCGAACTGTGGCGTGGCATTACGGCTATTGACTCTCCAGCTTGACAAGCGCGGACCGTCTAGTGTAAATCGTGGCATGGGCGAACGCAGGATTGAGGAAGGCGATCTGAGAGCTGAGGCCGTGCGTGCTAGTGCCGGAAAACGCCGTGGTGCGGCGGAATCGACTGCATTCTGACCAGAGGATAGATTGTTGTTCTTGTATTCACCAGTATCTGCGATGGGCACGCTCACGACTGTTGGTGTTGGCGGCGCCAGCAATGCATCTGTCTCCGAGGTTTCACGGGATGTGGCCATATCGACAAAGATATGATCTGAGTCAAAATTTCACTAAAATTTTTTTAAGGAGGAATCATGTTAAGCGAATGCGTTTGCGTAATAATAATTTTGTCCAATACACTGTAGGATAGCAGTATACGAACACAATAATACAGTACCATCAACCACACTGGATAAAACAGGCTCTTTATTTTGCCTACTTGATTCCTAAGACGTGCACCACACAC